GAAAAAAGGGAGAAGAAAAAAAAGGGAAGGGGAGAAAGAAAGAAAGAAAGAAAAAAAACCCAAAGGGAAGCCCCGAGGGCTTCACCGGCCCCCTGGCCCCAGGTCCCCCCCCCCCCCCCCCTCCCGCGCCATTTCAGGCTCATATTTTGTACGACTCATGTTATGTCACAATGAAAAAAAAATGAAAATGAAAAGCGATTACTTTTCTCAAGAAAACCAAAAGACGAATCCTCCCGCCGGCCCCTTAATGAAGCTGGTAGAAGGTGGAGATGTAGGCCTTGAGCTCGGAGTACGCAGCTTCAAAGTTGTCAATGACAAGGACCTTTTCAAAGAAGTCAGGGTTATTCTCGAGGAACTCCACCTCGAGCTTGGCTAGGTCCAGCCTTTCCTGAATCTTCTCATCACTTTCAGTCCCACGACTACGGAGCTGCCGTTCCAGCACCTCATGTGACACAGGGCGGACGAACAGGAAGCGGGCATTTAGTGAGGAGATCTTCTCGACGCTGCCAGCAAAGTTCCGCAACCTAAACAATATGTTCCTCGAGCCACATATGAGAAAAAAGATCTATCTCTTACCTCTTGGCCCCCTGAGTATCAATCTCAAGAAAGCAGATCTTGCCCTGGGTGGCCAAATTCTCCAGGGTGGCAACGGATGTCCCATAGAGGTTGCCTGCAAACTCGGCAGTCTCGATGAACTTGCCAGCCTCAATATCCTTCATCATTGACTCACGGTCAGTGAAGAAGTAGCTCTTTCCATGGATCTCGCCCTCACGTGGTTTGCGGGTGGTGTCTGTCAGAGAAAGAAAAGAAAGGAGGACTGAAAACAACAACTCCGAAGATGAGGTGTACATCGGAAGCGAGGACATACGGGAGACAGCAAAGGCAAAGTCGTCAGGAAATTCGGCAAAGAGCCACTTGAGCAGGGTACCCTTGCCCACACCGGAGGGACCACAGATCACGATTGGACGCACAGTCATTGGAACACTGCAACAAACGAAAAAAAAAACAATGGAAAGTTGTACCTAGAGATGTCAAGAGTAACAGGACAAAGACTTCAAGGCGCAACCTTGAGGAACGGAATCACAGAGGAGAGGAGGAGGGAGTACCCTCACAATTATAGGCCTTACGAAACTATGGCTACTCGTGTAAGATAGCCCTTGAGGGCCTATAGATACCCTCATAATATGGGACTGGAGGACCTATGGGTACCCTATTATCTTGAATCAATCAGATCCTAGATCTGTTCAAACAGATTAGATCCGATCAGCGATCGTTTTGAACAGATCCTGGGATCGGATCTGAGAGCTGAACTATTCGGGGCCTAGCTATCATTGAAGTGGTCAGAAGAATAAATGAATCATTTTCAAGCACACAAATAAATAAATACCATTGATTTGTTGTCTATTCAATATTAAATTTTTGTACTCGAAAATTGTCTCGATCGAATGATAAACCGAGGGTATAATTTAATTGATTCGACTGTTCTCCTAGACCGTTTCCACCAGCAATCACACTTCCCTGTGTGGCTCCTTTTGGCCAACGCATGATTCGATTATTCGCAGGGTGGCTGGGTGTGAGGGTGGGGGTGAGGGTGAGTATTCTAAGATCAATTCCAAGCTACTTACGACGCGTTTCGTCCTTGCTTAAGGGACTCGTCAGGTAAGTTCGGAATATCATACAATCCACATTATTATTTATTTCTCGCAATATTTCCTGTAGGATGTAGGGTTTACTAGCTTTCTATGTACTTAGTTTTTATCTTCATCATCTCTACTAAATAGCAACAAACCATTGAAAAAAAAGGAAAATGTCTAGTCAATCGATGTAAGTATCTCTGAAAATATCAACAAAAGAAGGAAAGCGTTGAGAAATAGTTCTATATTACTGTGTAATTTCTATTTAAGAATGAATAACAATAATAGTCAAACTGCACACACCCCATCAGAACAAATCTTGGAAAATGAAACAAATCAAATCGATATTACTTCAATGCTTATCCTTCAGCTTCTGGACACAAATCAACCACTGATACAAATGAATTGTGCAATTATGATTGCAAATCGAACAGAAGTCATTGATAATGTTCCACTACATCAAAATTTAACAAACAGACAACAAGGTCGACGAAGACAACGGCAACGAAGACGACAAAGACAAGCAGAGCAACGACGAATACAACAACGAAAATTTCAACAACAATTACAACGACAATTGCGCGAATATCAACGGCAGCAACGACAACGACGAAGATATCAACGACACCAAAAACAGCAGCCAATCTTAAAACCAATACGTGCACGATACATATCATCAATTGATAGAGAATGGGATCATGACAATGGGAAAACTCTAGGTTATCCTGAATACTTGAACCAATTCAACGACGACTTCTTAGAAGCCTATAATTTTAAAAAAGCGATCCAAACCAACTACGGGAACAAGAACAATTGGAAGAACTTGAAGCATTTGCTGCCTTACAACAGTTACTTCTCACACAGGATGAAATTAAACAAGAAAGTCAAATAAAAGCAGTGGAACAAATGCTTGAAGAAGAAAAAGAAGAGAAGAATCAAGAACAACTCATTCAATTACAACTTTGGGAGCATGCTGCTTTCGTCGCTCAACAACTAAATGAAAAATGACTTCATTTTTTCTCTGTTCATCTAATCTTTGTCATACAAATTATTGTTACACTATTACACAAAAGCTCCTATAGATACATGTCAACAATAAGCTACAAAGTCATTAGCCTCAACATTCCAAATATCTATTCGAGTAGAAATGATGAATATAAAAGCTTGTCAGCGCAGCTCCTTTGGGGCTAAAATGTGGAACTCACACCCCAGTCAGACAAAAATTTGGAGAAACGCGTTTAAACACACAAAAGAGAACCGCGATTGTGAGCTATTAACTTTCAGTTAAAACACGTTCGAACACGCGTTTACTGGGTTTTTTCCAACTTTCTTAACGTGCAAACATTAGAACTTTCATTTTTCCAACGTAGAAACGGTCTTTTAATATGGAATTCTAGAACAAGACGTTTTCACGCTGGAGAAAGGAAAATTCTAATTTTTAAACGCTGAGAAAGTTGGGAAAAGCCCAGTAGACGCGTGTTCGAACGTGTTTTAACTGAAAGTTAATAGCTCACAATCGCGGTTCTCTTTTGTGTGTTTAAACGCATTTCTTCAAATTTTTGTCTGACTGGGACGCTTGCATTTGGAAAACGAGATTGTGGATTAGAATAAAATACTTAAGGAGTAAGCTCACTTTAAGATCATCACTCTCAGGCTGGTAGCATTTCTAGTAGTCACAAAAGGTATAAGCAGTTGATTCAATTGAAGAATCAAATACACAATTGACTGTCCTTAGTTTAAAATAGAAATATTCGGTGAGAATTATTTAGAATTCCAGACAAGACGAGATATTTCTAAGTAAAGTGCACGTTGGGCCACTTTCGCGTAATTTAAATAATACAGAGTAAGGCCCAAACAGCACAGCAAAAAATAACGAATCTGCATTTGAAATGGAAATATTTTTACTTGAATGGTAAATAATAGAAATTTGAATACGCTGATAACATTTTTCTATGTTCCATAACTCTAATACTCTCTACATTTCTAAAACTTGTATAGGTCATACGGCTACAATAATCGTTGCAGTGCCTGCACCCTGTGTAGCGCCTGTAGGGCTGAGCCTGTATAGCTCCTATCGTCCTTGCACCCTGTGACCCCGTAACGGCTAACCTATATAGCTGAAGTAGCGGCTTCCGGCTCATGGGGGAGGGGTGGGGGTCCAATGATTCCTGGGTACAAAACTTACACTCACTTATTTTTCTTCGAAAAATATATGTGAGTTCCACAAAAACATAAAATAGAAAAAGCCAGCAAGATAATAAGATTATACTATGCTTAAAACGTTAATATCTTCCGAGAAAATCACACGATCTCAGTTTATAGTGAGAAATTCTCAGAAGTAAGTTAAGAAATATACCGCTTCTTTAGTATCGCAACTAATTGACTTATTATCTCAATTTTCGAAATCATGACTTTTTATTCGTTTAAAACTTGTTAATGTTTGACATATGTATAGTTGAGATACCTTCTGTAAGTCTTAGCGTGTTAGTTTTTGTCGATTAGTCAAACTACATATTTATGCTTGACTCTCAGGAAAGAGAGAATTCGCCGAAGAGCAAGGGGCATTTTAAGGTCTTCTGAATTTATACATTTTGTAACTGTTCTCAAATAACAAATATTCAAAATCCTTATGTGTTCCAGAGAGAAACTTTTCGACCCAACTACATGATTGATTTCTTTTACTGAGAAAAAAAGAAATGGCACGATCATCGACTGATGAACTTATTGATGGCATTAATTCGAAAGCAAATTATATCAAAACATTACCACGAACCATGGATTCATGTATGCGAGAAGCGATAATGAATTGGAAATTATTAGTTACTGAGGCTTCCTTACCACTAGTTTTGAATTCAGCACCGAATTCAAGAGATAGCGTGACTGAGCTGCCAAGTAGCGACTACATGATTGATCTACGAGCTGGTATTAAAATTTTGCCTCGCCGATTTGAATCACAACAAAAATCAATTGACGTCGAAACCAGACATTTTCGGACCAAACATGAGAAAGAAATAATGCAGGGTCAAGTGAAATGCGTCAAAATCAATGAGGAAGGAAAACAGTTTAAATACGAACCTTCACGTTCAGAAATGCCACACGACTCTACTATATTTATTGGAGAATTACACAAGTTTAGTTTTCCCGACAAAGTTCCGCCTGAGAAATCAGCTGAAGATCCGTTGACCTATCCAACTAACGCCTGTGCATATCCTAATTGTGGTAACACAGAAGGGATCGAGAATTGTATTACCCATCTTCAGCTGTGTGAGCGTCATGAAAAAGAATTAGAACATAATATTCAATACAAATGGATGCCGCCTAAGGCTTTGAAAAATTACAAAAAAATTGAAACTCAACGAGTAGAGAATTGTGAAGAGTATCATTACCGAATTTATTATCAGTTATTACCACAATTAAACAAATGGATAGAACAAATTGATAGTATCATACTAACTGACTGTTCTGGTGTAGGTTCCGAAGTTTCTGCTATTGATGCATGGCTAGTTCTTCAACTACGACCAATGCGTCAACTTTTAATGTTGATGAAGTCGTTCATTTTTATTTATCGTATGTATCTGAATTCCGATGCCATTGTTATTGAAGCTATCACTGCTTTATTCGTACATGTATTAGAAAGTGCCACAGTAAAAGAGGCTATTGTGCAAGAAACTGTAAGAATGATTCGCCTATTTTGTGGTATCGTTAGTTGTATATTTATCTATTTTGGTATTGGCATTTTGTACACATTGGATATAATAATTAGTGATGATGCATATCTAGCCACTATTTTGGGTGGATTTGGACTTACATTAATAGCTATAGGTGTGTTCTTGCTTGCAGCAGCTGCTGGTCCCAGAAGTATAGTTGGTGGAATCGCTGTACTTGGTACTAGTTTTACTTCTACTCTTCTTAGTTTTCGAATGGGAAGAGAACGTGAAAGACGCGACGCTGTCCATCCACATCTCATTCAAATTCATTTGGATCTGACACGTGCCCAAGAAAGAATGTGGCAATGGATAAATAACGCATAATAAAACATGGAATTCAATTTAATCTAGACACTAAACTAACATTTTCCGCATTCCTTCCTTTTCACAAATGCTATGTTTTCGGTCGACAGATACTTTCATTAACATATACTTCATCAAATAATTTTATCTACAAATTTTTGTCCACATGCACTTAGTCGACAGGACATTTAGTCGAAAAATTTCTGACGACAGTACAGACTATCGACAAAACAGTTGGACGATATCTATGTCATTGAAGGATCGCGGATATGGAAGGTCTGTGCGTGGATGTCGCTTTTGACAGACACCTATACTCGCACTCATATCTTCAATAAATCTATTTTATGATATTTACATGATTTAAATATCAGTTTTTACCAAAAGCAATTTGATATCTTCGATCATTTGGTGAATTTATTTGACGAAAAGTCGTGTGGACAGTGATTTTTCGACGTAATTTGTTGACTAAAAATATAATTGTCTTTTTCACTCTGAATACACGAGAAAATATATTATAAGTCAAAAATAATAACATCAGCGATGTGAATGTGCAGGTATTATTCTCACAATATAGATCAGATATTCGTACTCCTCAACAGATCTACAATTAGATACTCTAAGTAGAAATTAGAGATACAACAAAGAAAAGTGCATAAAGAAGCGAAAAGTATTCTCTTCTGTTTGTTGTTACAAAAAAAGAAAGAATTACCTTTTTGAATTATTATTTGAGAAAAAAGAGAAACTCTTTTCAATTGTGTTTTTGAATAATGAATAATCTATGACATATTTGAATATCTTGGTCATTTTTCAAGCTTATGAGATTTTTCTCAATTTAAATTCACGTTTTGGCATTTTTTTTATTTTATCAATTTATCCAATTCCAGTCAACATGGTCAATATATCTAAATCAGCATTCTATGATTATTATCAAGAATTTTTTGAATTAACTATTCATCGAATTTCTTCACTTTACATTTCAAATCCAATTATTATCAATGCGATAATTTCATTGCTTCCAAATTAAATGCTAAGCTCGTATATACTGAGATGAACTTCTTGATTATTTATCATTATTACCACAACTTTCATCATTAATTATAAGTTCAGCGGATGTAGTTTATAATACAACAAAGATTTATAAACATATATCTTCTCTATCAAGATTAAAATACTGTAAGTTGTCATTGAATGACAACTATAGAGTAGCACAGGACCTGTCATCTATTGCTAATGAGAATTTCATTTCTGTGGAACGTCTTAATTATAAATGCGAACAAAAGTCTTCAAGAATTTCTATCTATTTTATCAAATGTTCCATATCTTCGTCATTTATCCATCAATCATTTAATTTCCTCTAATTGGACAATAGAAAAGGCATTTTCAATAGCTTTAAACAATCTTTAAATTTTACATATTTCAATAGACATGGACACGAAATATACTAATGCACAAAGATGGAAATGTTTAATCTTCAAACATGAAAGCAGATTCAAACATAAGCGGCGGCGACGATTCATGTAAATATTTATGTCATAGTGAAGGTAATTTTAATTCAGTTCGTCATCTTCATATGAAACATAAATTAAAACTTCATGGTAAATGAATTTACGTTTGAAGGAACTTCTTCTCAATCGGGTGATTTAGATATAAGTATTTTGAATAATATTATACTTTTATCACAGATAACAATAATCAACATCCTTCTTTGTTCTCTTTCTAATTTGATCAAAATGCTATGTTCATCAGTGAACTGTAACAAGTTGACAGTAGTTGTCGTCGATTAGAACAAATGACTCTAATTAAACCTGTTAAAACCGATCTTCAATCATTATTTAAGCATTTATGACACATGGACAATATTACTAAAGAATGGGTAATGTCTTCTTTAGAAAAAGTTATATAAGAAAATGATGAAAGAACACATCCGATTGATTGACTATGACTTTTTTTGAACGAATAAATAATGAGCGATAAAATCTTATTGATACTACTCTCTTTAGAAATTTTAGTAATTTTTATACGAAACTATGTAAAAGAATGTTTGTATGAGAAAACCAACTGTAAGAATGATAGAAGAGTCTGACAAAGATGCCGATGAAGGTATATCATATTGTTGTTGAGTTAGATTATATTGTGAAAGAACAGCAAGAATTGAATTAACTGTCTTAATAGTGTTACAATATGGCTTTGTACATTGAATATCAATACTTTCAAAAGTTCGATTTTTATTGATATTTGATTCCCATTTCACACTTTTTTCTTTTAATGTAACTCCAATTGAAATCCATTCATTTTCAGTTTGACATGATTGAATCATTTCATCATTTTCTTTTATTTCAATTCGACAACTTAAACATTTCTTTGTTGTACCATAACATTCAATTGTTTGATTCATTTCTTTCTCATCAAAAACAAATTGACGAATTGATGCAATAACATCTGTCATTTGTGTAGGTAATACTTGCATATCTGCTACAGTTTCTTTAGAACGATCAAGAAATATATCACAATCAGGACAATCATGATAAACAGCACGTGTAAAAGAACCATCAACGAACGAAATATCTCCAATTTCTGTTTGAATAAATTGCGCGTAAACTCGTTCAATAACTGGTGTTACATAAAATAAATGTAATCTTTGGGTAAATGCTGAATTAATCGTAATTCGAACTGCACAATGCACACTAGAATCATTTGTAATTATATCACAATTTGGTCGTTGAAAAACATCTCCAATTGGTACAAATTGTGTACATACAGTATAACATAATTGATTGCATACTATTGTTTTAATCAACAGTAAAAAACACGAAATAGAAAAGAATAACATATTATTTAACGAAAGAATAAAAGAAATAATATCATTTTCTATATACACAATTCTCTTATCAAAAGATTTTTTATCTTATTCATCATAATGAATCATGTTCTTTATTTATTTACGATGTATAAAAAAAAGAAATGAAAAGATTTTTTATTAGAATTAGTTAAGTGTTTGTTTCTGATACATTTCTACTATAAGTAAATCGTACAATAACTCGTGGTTTCTTCTTTTTTATTTGTCTTTTATATTTTTTATATCGAAATCTCTTACGTTCTGTCTTTGCTACATCAATACCAAAACAATACTTGAGAATATCCAGAATAACAATAAATAAAACTGTACCTAATATAACAAGAATTGAAATATAAGCAAAAGATTTTGACATATATTCAATAAGAATTATTTGATTTGTTTTTATTTCACAATATTGACCATGATAATCATGATTAAGACATTGACATACAAAATTAAGTAGTAATGATTGACAAATTCCATTATTTAAACAATTTATATTCTGACAGTAATTTATTTTTGTTTCACAATGAATATTTTGCCAACCAGGTAAACATAAACATTCAAATGTTGTATTCGATGTTTGATTACATTTACCTAAGAAAAAATAAATAAATAAGAAAATTGACTTGAATTTCTTACCATTATTTCAACATGTATTAGATTGACAAAGTCGATTATCATATTGACAATATGTACCATTAAAATCAGGTAAACATTCACATACAGTGGTGTGAAAAATTATAGAATCACATGACTGCGCTCATTAGTTTATTTCAGGTCGGCCCTTTTGAGTTCCTCAAAACAATGGAGTCGAAGTT